AAAGGAAACACAATTTTAAATTTAAACCAAATAAAGTTCCACCTTAGATGCCCGAATGTAGACAAAGGCCTCTGTTGGTAATTAACTGTCCCAAACAAAGGCCAAGTGTGCCGCCTCACTGGCAAGGGTCTCACCTGACCTCAGTGATTTGTCTCGCCTATACTTTCATCTTGTATGTTTACACTTCTCTCCCTTTTTATGTTATACACCATGTTCTTCAGAACCATAACGTCTGCACAGCGGCTTTTCAGTTGGAAATGGTCCTCACAATGTCCCACCACTGTAGAATCTGCTCATGGACCTCAGCACATGTTACATTTCAAATGTACCTCTGTGGCTGCCTCCTGCATTATGCTATCTCTTCAATTTCCTCTTTGCAGAAACTATGGAAACATTAGTAGCTAACCATACTCTGGGCACAGTTTTATTGCATTAAAAATATTTTCCATTACTTATTTGCAGGTTTCATCATGTCCCCCAGCAGAGTGTGACTTTAAACTTGGCAAAATCTGTCTGTTTTGCTATTCTACAATCTATAATCATCACACAATATGTTTATACGAGAAATTGTTGCCTGAATGGTAATTCCTAGTGCTGTTTCTGTAATACAGTGATGGATTTCAGACTCTCTGAGTCCTGGATCTCTACAGTTCTACCAAACAGTTCAGAATTTATAGATCCAGGTCCTACAGCATTATTTTGGGCAGGCAAAAGCATTTGTTGGGCCCAACATGATTTTAAGCACTACCATCACAGATAGGTTAGGAAAGGACTTGTCATAACTATCCATGTAGTCTGAGTCTCAGTTTGAACAGGCTGTTAGAGAACTGGATCATGTGCACACAGTGGCTTAGCAGCAAGGAGAGAACTGCAGAGAGAGGCCAGGACCACGGACAGCACCCTCGGACCTAGCAGCCCCCCAGGCTGGAGTCAGCACCAAGGACAGCACCTCTATACCCGCCGCAGCACCAAGGATCAGTATCGTCAAGACTTTCACACACAGACCTGAACTTCTGTAGATGCAGAACTGAGTGTGTGCACTGATCTACAGAGCGAGGTGACCTGATCCAACGTAGCAGCAGGAGGAGGACAATACTCCCGGACGACTCGCTGTGACGTGTTAGAGCTCCCGTGATTATCACTCCATTCAGTTCCAGGAGAACTCCTAAACTTAAAGTGGTATGTTTTCACTCATGTGTCTCTACAGAAATGAAACTCTTACACATATCCTGTGGTTACTTTTCCACTGGAGTAGTCCTTAACGTGAGTCTCAAAAGGATTCAATGATTTAAAAAGCTTATCATAACATTCCTCTAAATGAACATACCACATTTAATTTCTCCACTTCCCATTCATGTTAATGGCACAAAGGATTATCAGGGATTATTCAAGACAATTACAAAACCAGTTTGTTTTTTTTTTCCTCATTCACATATTTTAAAAACCTTAAAACAATTCCAGTCAGCATATACACTTACATAATATAGATCATTGTATTTGCCATTAATTCACTCCTACTGTCTTCTCCAACCCTCCTATATACCCTGATATTAATTCGCCCTAATGTCCTCCCATACCTCCCTAACTACCCTGATATTAATTCATTCCTACTGTCTTCCCCATACACCCTCAACCTACTGGTGCTCTTCTTCTCTCCGAAAGCCCCCATTTTGCTTTCATATCAATGTTACACACGTGTATAATTAAATGTACTTTTGCATATGATAAACCATGAAATAACACATCTCTCTTCCCCCACATTAACCTCTCTTATATTTCCCCAGTGGCTAAGGATCAGGCTACTGTACTTAAAAAGACAAGAATAACAATGAAAATTCACAATGTTGTACAGCAAGTATGGGTATTAGTCAAGGAAAAGAGTAAACATTTTCTACAGTTCCATCAATGAAACAGACACTTTTAAAACTCACCTGAATATTTAAAATTTGAATTGCTCACATTTGGAACACATTTCTCTCACATCAAGCAATATCTACTCACATACTTAATAGCCTGACTTTAATACATGAAGAGCATTCCATCCTATGAATATACACAGCAAACCAGTTTCAAGTGTTGAGTGCTCAGATTTATAACCTGAAGCTCAAATAAGAATAGCCTGATGCAATTTTTTTTCCTCCCACAGCTCAGAGAATGAAGGAAACTTGGCTCAGTCTCCCAATTACAGAACCTGTGACAGTCGAAAGCCTGCCTACAAGCTGCAAACCACCTTCAGCAACACTTTCTCATCATCTTCCCTGTCCCTGGCGACAAAAGCCATCCCACTTCGTAGCTTGTCAGTCAGATGCCCATCATCACCTCTCCCACACTTAGAGATTTTAATGGGCAGTTATAGAATAGGATGTCAGATCATGTCCTGCTCAGTCTCTGCCTGTGTGGTTTCCCAGTTCTCTCCTTCTGAATCTTTCTAAATTGTCCTAAACATTAAAAAAAACCAGTTATGTTCCTCCTAAGAGTTACAGCCTGAGATACTCCAACAAGTCTACCACTAAGTGGGAAACTAACTTCCAGATCGGAGTTTCCTATGACATGAGCTCAGGCTGACGTATGTGGATAGTGGCACCTGCTGTTTGGTAGACAAATGAAACGTGACTGATGGTCTGGGCATGAGCAATGCATTCAAAAGACCAGACAACCAACCAGCTATAAGATAACCAAGGATAAGGAGGGAGAAAGGAGAACTTTCCCCCATACAAATAGTCTTTAAAAATTACGTCCCACACACCAAACCTAAAGAAAACAAAGGAGGCAGTATTTTGTGCTGAACAGAGAAATGACTGTAGCCAAGAAACTGTAGAAAAAAAAAAAAAGAAACTATAATTACTAACACACAAAGTACCACCGAGAACACAAGTGACAACACTGTGTTAGTTGTATCCATGAATATGTATAGCTACAGTCATTTAACATTGACAAAGACAACCAAAACACATACTGGAGAAGACAGCATTTTCAATTAACGGCACTGGGAAAACTGGAAGCCCACACGTGGAAGATGGAAATTATCTATCATACTGTACAAAAACTAACTCCAACTGGATCAAAGATCTAATGTGAAACCTGAAGCATTGAAACTGCTAGAAGAAAACTTAGTACATTGCAGGATGTGGTTATAAAAAGAATTTTGTGAATAAGAACAGACACCATTTGCCCATGAATTAAAGCCACCAACTGACAAGCAGGACTTTATAGCACTAAAGTGCTTCTGAACAGTTAAAGAAAAAATTAAATGAAGAGGCTCACAGAATAGTAACCTTTGTCAGCTCTATATCTGACAGAGGGTTAATATCCAGAATGAATGAAGAACTCAAAAAATAGAGTCAAAGAAACAAATGACCCAGGTAACAAATGGGCTTTGTATCTGAACAGAGTTCTTCAATAGAAAAAATAAAAAATGTCTAAGAAATACCTTTAAAAATGTTCATCATCCCTAACAATTAGTGAAACGCAAATCAAAATAATTTTAAGATTTCATCTTACCCCAGTCAGAATGGCAAAGCTCAACAAAAGAACAGCTACAGGGAAAAGGGAACCTGCATTCACTATTGGTGGGATTGGATACTGGTGTAGATACTCTGGAAGTCAGCATGGAAAGCCCCCAGAAAGCTAAAAATAAATTCACCATCTTATCCGGCTATACCACTCCTTGGAATACGCCCAGAGGACTTGACATCCTTACTCCACAGACACCTGCTCAACCATGCTCACTGCTACTCAATTTACAATAGCTAGGAAATGAAACAACTTAAATGTTCTTCAACAAATAAATGGATAATGAAAATGTGGTACATATATACAATGAAATACTGTAAAGAAAAGTGAAATCATGAAATTTGCAGTTAAATGGCTGGAACCAGAAAAGATTATATTGAGTGAGGTAACCTAGACCCAGAAAGACAAATGCCACATGTTCGCATGTATCTGTGGTTCCTAATTCGAAGTCTTCATGTAAGTATAGAAACCAGAAAGGTAAAGGGAACCACAGGGTGGGAGGAATAGAGGGGAATAGCTAGGTATGGACAATCTATCAAAATCCTCCAGCACAAGGCATGAGACACCCACTTCTGAGCTGTTGATCAGGGCTGCCCAACAGACTCCCAAAACATGATAGCTATTGCTGCTGCCCTTGATTGCCTCTCTGAGTTGGTGGGTTAAAGCCCAATTGCTGAAGACTTTGGACATAGGACCCAGAGGACCCAAAAACGTTCTCCATGAAGACTACCTTTCATGGTACCAGAAGGACTGATGCAAGCTTCCAAGGGAGGGAAGCAACCAATAGTCCTATGGCACATATGAACCACAGCAACTACTATTACACTATGCCCCTAAGAATGCAATAATGGCACACACACCTTAGTGGTAACCAATAGCTCTCTAATTGGACTTAAGACCCACATAAAAAGTCTTCCTGCTGCCTGTTTATCATGTGGTCTGAGCACATCTTTTGAGGAATAGTCTCCATGGTTGACACGGCTATACTGCTTGGGAACTGGAATTATTGGGGCTCTCATTGTAGGTTTTACTGTTGCCCAACTTCTCCAGGATAGATATTGGCCAAAGTGCAATGTGCAAGAAGCATCAGCTTCCCTCCCTGAGTCAACAAAAGCCAAATTAGTACCAAAGTATGTCAGGAGTCAGCGTAATGACTGTGGATAAGGTGGCAGTGCCAGAAGCTACTATTCTCATTGTAGCTTTGCCCACACCTATCTATGGCCAGTCTCCTCACCAGAACACAACATGCAAACGAACCCAACACAAACAACATTGTGGCCTCAGTGTGTGACTGGGATGTACTCACACCAGATCCCCTCTATTGGGTCAGCTGGTTCCCACTGTATGTGTAGAGCATGAGGCCTGGCCTGCCAAACTCTGCTGTCAAGACTTGAGAAGTATGTTCATCCAAAGAAGCCCCAGGCTAAGGGGAAACACTGTCCAGAGTTAAGTACAGAGAAACACTGATACCTGTAATCCATCCTTACCTGTCAGACTATGAGCCTGCCTGTTCTGTACTGCTTCAGGGGTCACAGTCTTGGATGGTGTCTCCAAAGCCTGAGGAGTTTGAAGCGTCTCCTTTTCTTGGCCTCTTGAATCATTAGGGAAAAGTCTCTTCAGCACTTTTTCAGTAAACACTACAAAGGCAACAGATTAAGAACAGAAATGACTTATACATTTACTTATATGACACAATTTCATTCAAAACAAAGGCATCCTTACTATCCAACATCCAAGAGAGTGGCCCCAACACTGGTCACCAGCCCCGAGAGAGTCCCTTGGCACATACTCTCAGGCCACTATGCAGACACTGCTGGGCAGACAACCTCCCAGAGCCCGCATTTCAGATGGACTCCCATGGATTCTGTCCCTCAAATGACCCCGTACAATCCCCACTATTTATTTTATGGTTCACTTTTGTGTTTGCTGGCCTTCTCAAAGTACAGACTTGCAGATAGGGGGAGGATCTTTGGCATGGCAGGGATTGAGGGCACCCAGGGGTCACCTGTTACTGCCCTTTCAGGGAGGCATCTGTGCTACATGACTCTGCTTTCTCCTGATGGGGGCTGGTCTTACCTTGAGTTTCTATTACACTAAGTAGAGTCAACGAGCCCCCACACAGTGGAATAGGGAGTAGGTTCCAAAGGCCAGCTAGGCTGGACGGCCCATGTGCAGGTCATATAGCTCCTATAGTCTGATGTGTGACAGATCAGCTCTGAGGAGACCAGCAGGGCATGGAAGGCTAATGCCCTCTCTAATACCTCTCTCCTTTGAACTGAACTGGCTGACAATTATAACTGAAGAAACACTCTTGCGTGGCTCATAAAGCCTTAGTGTGTATGTGGAAATTCTTCACTTTAGTTTGCACTCTTAAGATGCCCAAGTATTTTAGAATTTTCAGATAGGCGGTGAAAAATGGAGAACCAAAACAGCTGAGGACAGTGATTTGAAATGTGAAATATGAGAAAAGACACTGAGGGTGGCTTGCAGATGAAGTAGATGAGATTTCCAAGGTCATACAAAAAAAAAAAATTCTAGCTATAAAAGGAGATTCTTTTTTTTATGGTCATGGGGTATTGTTTTATATTTTTTAAAATTTTCTTTTCTGTTACTAATTACAGTTTATTCACTTTGTATCCACCTGTAGCTCCCTCCCTCTCCCCTCCCAAACCCATCTTCCCTCCCTCTGCCCTACCCACACCCTTCCCCCAGTCCACTGATAGGGGAGGTCTTCCTCCCCTTTCTTCTGTTCCCAGTCTATCAGGAAGGAGACTCTTCTTAATTCCAACATACTCTCAGATAATTTGTGCTAAGAGTAATCCTTTTAAATGTGTGTTTCAGTGATAGTAAATACAGCATTCTTTATTTTTAGTTTATTATTTTGTTATTTTTAAAGGCACTTGTTATTCTTTCAGTTTCTGTCTCCGGCCTAACACTGAAATCTTTGATCGACTTGAGAGAGAAGGACCTTATTTCATTTTCTACATGTAGATATCTAGTTGTTGGTGTTGTAGGTGTATATGTAAGTGTGCACACACATAATAAATAAATAAATGTAAAAGGAGTCTTTGGAAAGAAAAACTAGAGTTCTGAACAGTAAACTGAGGCAGCACAGATATGACTAACATAAAAATGTTGCTGTACCAAAGAGAGGCACATCCATCCCATCCCAATCTCCATTATTAGACATGTCAGATGACAGAACCAATATTAATGGTAATGGCTTGGGTTATCAACAAGACCACAAACAGACTTAAGAATGTAGGAAAATGGGTCCATATTTTTAAATATACATGCTATGTAAGTATGAAAGGCCTTTAAGTTTCTACCTCAGTTTTTATGTAGAAGAGAGTAATGGGAAGACGTCATATAACTTCAAGAGTGCAGGAGTCACAGCTTTAAACGTACATCAACCAAACAGGACTGAGGGGCAATCTCTTTTTGCAAATTGAAATTGAACAGTGTTCAAACAAAACAAGACAAGGTGAAAAACCAAAGAGGAACATTTTATTATGCAAAGCTACATTAAAGTGTTTTGTACCGCTACTGTAATTTCCATGTTATGCTAGCATTTTATCACACACAAGCTATTTATTTTTGACTTCCAATCACTTCTCTGTAAGAGGGACCTGTTCTGTAAGGGGCATGCATTCAGAAATCCATCCCCACGCCATCCTGCTGCAAACACTATTATGATAAAGTGACCACTTAATACAGGAGTTAAGGCACAATGTTGATATTAAATATGGGCAGATGATGTCTGTGTCTTACTATCTTTAATGGTTATCCCTTATTTTCAATATGACTGAATTTGGAATCATCTTGGGATGCATGTCTGGGTTTGTCTGAGTATCTCCATGGAGGCTTAATGGAGGAAGGAAGGTGCACCCTTGACATCAGGGTACCATCCATCCATGAGATGGGTCACAAACTAAATTAAAAAAAGAAATCAAATGTAAGTATTCACTACTGTTTGATCCCTGAGTGAGTCAGTTCAACCAGCTGCCTCATTCTGCAGCGGTGACTCCCCACCTGTGCTCTCAACTATAAATCCAAATAAACCTTCCTTTATAAAGTTGCTTTTTCTTTTTTCTTTTCTTTCTTTCTTTTTTACAGAGATGAGAAAAGTAACTACTGCAGAAAACTGGTGTCAGATGTGAGACTGTTGCCATGACAGCCCTGCTCATGTGGTTCGTAGGCCTCTCCAACAGGTTTGTATGAAGGGGGTGGAAGAGTTTGGAGCCCTGGGCTAGAGAAGTCCTACAGAGGAAGCAGAGCTTGATGGGCCATTCCAGTGTTAGTTCAGAAAACCAGCATGCTAAGAGAAACACAGACAGCAGGGGAGGCCCAGTTCAGGTGGGTTCGGGGGGGGGGGAGCACGTCTCTACTGGTAGAGCAGGCTAGATACCGCTGTGTTCTATTCTGACAAAGAATCTGGCTGCTTTCTGCCTATGTCCAGTTAATCTGAGTGAGGCTAAATTTGAAGTTAATAGGCTAAGCCTGTTCATAGGCAAAATTTCAAAACAGTGTGAGACCGTGCTATGGCACGGTTACTGCTCACTATCCTTAGTCAGATCCTAAGTGAAAGAACAGAAATAAGAAAAAAAAAATTGCAGTTTGGCTGAGAAAGGAGCATAGGTAAGTTTAAAGTTGGAAATAAGGCAGGTGAGAAGAAAGCAGCCATTAAACAGAAACCTAGATGTTCTGCACTGAGAAAACAAGATATATGTCCTGAAGGAAACACCTCACCCATCAGAGGATCCAACCCTTAAAAATAAAATTGATTTCAAACAGCCTAAAATAAGAATGTGGTTGAAGGGATTAATTACAAAAACAAAACAAACAAATAAACAAACCTGCCTAGGGGAGTCCCAGGTTCATGCACAGAGGCATACAGAGACCATTTCAGCTATGGTAGGAAGCCAGACTGCATCTCAAAATGGCAGAACTTGACGAGATTTTCCATGTGGTGTTAGTTTTGTAAGCATACAAAATGCAAGACTTATGGGATCATGGAGGCTTGTGCTGAGGACAGACAATGTGTGGTTGAGTTGAACTTTAATGAGGAAACCCTCAGAGGTCACTAAATACAGTAGCAATTCTGGTATGCAACAGCATACCAGAAACACCAGGGCCACAGGAGGCCCAACAGCTGCAAACATATTCTAGAATTGGTCTAACAGAGCAGTTTTATGTGCTACAGGTGGGGCAGAGGTGCCCAGAGCTATCAGAGCTCAGATGATGGCCTTAAATGTCTCAGATGCTGGACAGGGAGCTATAGAGTTTGGTGTTTCTTGTCTTGGGTTTGGGTCTTGCTTTGGTCCAGTTTTCTCTTGATATTCTGTTCTTCCCTTTTAGAATAGAAACATTTACTCTATGTCACTGTATTGGAAATATGTAACATTTTTTTTTTCTTTAAGATTGCCTTGAGTCAGAAGAGAGTTCATACTTTTGAACAATATTAAGACTGTTAAGACTTGGAGAATAGAGAAATGGCTCAAAGGTTAAGAGCACTTGCTGCTCTTTTCAGTGACCCAGGTTTGATTCACAGCACCCATATGATGCTCACAGTCTCCTATAACTCCAGTTCCAGGAGATGTGATGTCTCTTCTCTCCTCTGTAGGCAACATACATGCATATGGTATACACGCATACAAGCAGGCAAAACACTCACATACAGCAAATAAATAAATAAATGAATAAATCAACAAATGAATAGATAGAACAAATATGGGGACTCTTCAAGTTGAAATGAATGCATGTTACAAAATGGCTATAAGCCTACGGGGGCCAGGAGGGCAATATTACCATTTAAAGCTGACATGTTTGGGCATCAAATTGGCAAGGGTGAACTTGTGCTTATCAACCGAGGATTTAGAAGTATCTAGGAGACTCCTGTTGGGTTTGTCTCTGAAAGGCTTTTCTGAGAGTTATAACTGAGGAAGAAGGACACACCCTGGTGTGGACAGTACCACCCCATGGTCTGGGATCGCAAACTGAATTAAAAGAAACAAGAGAATGAGAAGCAGGCAACAACAGCCATTTTTTTTTCTGCTTCCTACGTACATCTGCATGCTCCCCTCCCGCCCCCCGCCATCCTGTGCTCCAAGTACAGCTGCATCCTCACCCACCATCCCAGGCTCTACGTACAGTTGCATCCTCACCTGCCATCACAAGTGGATGTTGAAACTGAACCCAAGATTTTGTGGATATATTGGACCTCCTATCTAAACACCTGTCCTCTTGAACAAAGCATTCTCTGCCCTGCCCTTAACTGCCCTCTTTGTCCCTGCAGTAAATACAATCCCCATACGTTTCTAAGGGGAGCAGCACAGCTGCAGTGCGTCAGGATGGCACACACCGTCTGCAAACATGCGGCAAGAGCTGCTTTCCTGCCACAGTGTCTGGTCCACTACCTTAAAGTAGAAATAATTAGCTATTTCGGATCATGCTAACATTGAACCTCCAGGTTAAAACAAAACAAAACTTATAAACTGCTTGACCATGTTCTATAAACAAGAGCTTCAGCAGACAATGTATGTTCTCTAATTGGCCAAGTTACTTTTTGATTAATGTTAAAAGACATAAATGGAGGCTTCTCTGACGACTGAGCCTTAGTGTTTAAGTACACAGTGTG